GGGGGGATCTCTGTGAGTTCAAGGCCAGCCTGATCTAGAAGAGCTAGTTCCAGGACAGGAACCAAAAAAACAAAACAAAACAAAACAAACAAACAAACAAACAAACAAACAAAAAAAACCCCAAAAACCTATAGAGAAACCCTGTCTTTAAAATCAAAAAAAAAAAATTGCAATAATTGTGCAGTTAACGCTTTTCCAACAAGCATTTTAGCAATTGTGTATTTTGTTGATCCTGAAATAGGGAGTTTAAGTCCCTGCCAAATCCTGGAATCCTTAAGTACACGGGCACACTTCTTACCTCCGGTTCTGGAGTGTTGGATCCCTCCTTTCTCCAAACACCACCGCACTGGACACCGAGTGCAGCTGTTCTGTTCTGTGCGGGTCCAAGGGTCACTCCGAGATGAATTTTAGTTTTCTGCAGCAGGGAAGTCCAGTCTCTGAGGGACTCAATTCCCCTTGCTTCCCCAAAAGTCATTTTGTTGTTGTGGTGGTGGTGGTTGTTACACAACTTAAACCTAACAAGCGATTCCTGCAAACCATAACTTCTCATCTGGAGCTGGTTGAAGGAGCCATTTGCCTAAGCAGTCCTCAGCTGGAGACCTCCCGGTTTGCCAGGTTGTCTCCTCACTAAGTTTTCTTTTTAATTTTTATTTATTTATTAAAGATTTCTGACTCTTCCCCGCCACCGCCTCCCATTTCCCTCCCCCTCCCCCAATCAAGTCCCCCTCCCTTGTTAGCCCAAAGAGCAATCAAGTTTCCCTGCCCTGTGGGAAGTCCAAGGACCACCCACCTCCATCCAGGTCTAGTAAGGTGAGCATCCAAACTGCCTAGGCTCCCACAAAGCCAGTTCGTGCAGTAGGATCCAAAAACCCATTGCCATTGTTCTTGAGGTCTCAGTAGTCCTCATTGTCCCCTATGTTCAGCAAGACCGGTTTTATCCCAGGCTTTTTCAGCTCCAGGCCAGAGGGCCTTGGTGAGTTCCCGATAGAACATCCCCATTGTCTCAGTGTGTGGGTGCACCCCTCGCGGTCCTGAGTTCCTTGTTTGTGCTCTCTCTCCTTCTGCTCCTGATTTGGACTTGAGATTTCTGTCAGTGCTCCAATGTGGGTCTCTGTCTCTGTCTCCTTTCATCCCCTGATGAAGAACCCAAAGAAAAACATATAGGCATCCTCCTCACTAAGTTTTGCAAAGACTCTGGAATCCTTCAGGAAGAACTCAGATAAGAAACATTGTAAACAGAAGGCAACAATCACTGATTTTAATCAAAGCCTAGGTGCTGTCACCCCCGGAACTGAAGCCACGTGCAAGTGTAGTATCTCTCACTAGGCCTCCAACATGGGACATCAGTGAAGAAAAAACGCAGGTCTACAGGCCAAACCCGTGGGGGCATTTTCTCAACTGAGGGTCCCCTTCTAAAATCACTCTACTTGTGTTAAGTTGATATGAAACTAGCCAGGTCACCGGGAAAATAAATCCACAGGTAACTACAGCTGGAGGACTTTAACTTTATAAATAGTCCATGTACCAATCATGTTTTATTTATTTTTAGTTTATTATTACTGTTGTTGTTATTTGCAGTTTTGAGGATGGAAGCTAGGTTACTGTGTTATTGGCAAGTGTTGCCTAGTCACGATTCGTCCACACCTCGTGCTCCTCACTGGGCTTGGGGCATGGCTCAGGAGTAAGGACACCCTCACCGCACCTCATCCCTCCATTCCCACCTAGAATCCCCCAGTGAGGAGCTGGAGGCACGGACAGGGTGGAACACCGCCTAAAATTCCCCAGTGAGGGGCTGGAGGCATGGGCAGGGATGGAGGCTTCCATCAGCTAGAATCCCCCAGTGAGGGGCTGGGATGTCAGAGGTGGAACCCTGCCTAGAATGCCCCAGTAAGGGGCTGGGGGCATGGTCAGGGGTGAAACCCCTACCTAGAATCCCCCCAGGAGGAGTTGGGGTCATGGTCAGGGATGGCTGCTCCCCCAGCCAGGGCTAGAATCCCCAGTGAGGGACAGGCTCTCTACAGGATAGAAGGGTTGGTCTAAGCACTTACCTAACATGTCATACAAGGCCATGGCTTCCATTCCCAGCCCTGCTGGCTTTCTGGTTCTTGGGGAATCTTCTGTCTTGCTTCCAAACTGGGAGTTGAGCTTACTGTCCCTTTTAGAGGCCCTCGGTGGTTAGTCTGCCACAGCTTGGGCTGAGCCCTTCCAAACTGAAGGGAAAGGAAAAAAATCACCTCAGGAATTCCATGACAGTAAGTGGCAGGGAAGTCACAAGATTGCTTGGTAACCTTTATGGGATGTGTGCCAAGAACAGGGCTTCCCCCACCTGCAGGCCTCTGAGGCACTGCCGGTTCCCCCGTGAATTCTGAAGAGCCAGGGTGGGGTGTGTGTGGGGAAGGTGAGGGGGTGGGGTAGGTCTGAGAGGATTGGCTCAGGGTACCACAGGAACAGGAAGTGTCTATTTCCTTCTGGAAGCCTAGGGCCGCCAGCCACCTTCAGCTGCTTTCTGCTTGCTCCCCAGGACCGCTGGAAACCTGATGTAACCAAAATACATTATTCACTGGCAAGGAAGAGCAACTTGGAGTCACCCCGAGAAGGGAGAGGTGAGGAAGAGGTTAAGTTTGAGCAAGAGGAAACTTGACTCAATAGTTTCGATATTTGCTTGCTGCCTAGATGTGTCATGGGCTTATACTAATAATAATTGTGAGTGATAGAGTGAATACTTATGAGCTATTATATATAGACAGCTTACCGCAGTATAGATTCTTGTATACTGATACAAATTCAAATTATATTTGTTATATTGAATATGCTCCTATTTCTGTTTACAGTTGTTAAGTTGGGTTGGGAGCATAACCCCAGTCCCTGGCATCCATGCCAGCCCCCTGGCCTGGGAACTCCAAATCCCAGAATGCCAGGTGGTCAGGACCACTCTGACAGGGTATTTAAGTGGGCTCCCAGAGGAGGAACACGTGGTCCTGGGTTTGCATGTGCTCCCCACTTTTCTGTCTCCCCACCATGCTCTCGGCCACCAGAGAGCGCTGCACTTAATAAAACATGGGCATTTTATTTGGTTTTATCTGTTTTAATCGGATTTTTGTGCACTGGCAGAGCGACTTGTCTTAGGATTTTTTTCCTAACAACAATATTTGTACACCCATGCAAAGTTATTTTGTCATATTGTATGCATGCATGTTTCTGCCTCTGATCAAGATACTTATACATTGTTTATATTGAGGCCATTGTACTTATTTGCTGCACAATTGTTTAAAGATTGTCTAACATTCTAATAGAAAGTCTTAGTCTTTAAGCTATATAGAGTAGGTATTAAGATTCATAGGTCAATAGTTATCCATGTTTGTCATACTTATAGTTAGACTAATCAGGTTCTTTAGATAAATAGAGATTGCATTCTGCATAGACTGATAATCTTCAACCACTTCAAAAAGCCATAAAATATGGCATTTAAATAATTTAGGGTTCTGTTGATGTGAGACACAGCTGCTCCTGAGAGCACCGATCTATTCCCGAGAGAATGATGAGTCCCAAAGACACTCCATTTGGACCTTGTTTTCTTCTTGACAAATCTGGCTTTTCGGGCAGGAAACGGCCCATGCATCAACCACTGGCAAAATGCACAGTTCCTGGACTGGACAAGCAGGATACTGTCACGAGCCATTTCCCCCCTAAAAATCATTACAGAAACCATCACCCTGGGGGGTCTGCAGAGAACCCCATACCCATAATTATGTTCTATTGAGAACCTGCCCCACACCCAATTAACTGTTAATCTGTTAGCAGAACCCGCCTCACATTCCAGCTATCCAGGGAACCAGGTGTGGCAACTTGTGACTTCTTGGCCTACCTGTCCGACTGTAACCTGGCCTACTTGACCTGGAACACGCGGCAAGAATCCAGTTGCCCTGCCCCCCATTCCTTACCATATATAAACTGTAACCCATCCCTAATAAACGGAGGCTTTGACAAATCTGCTTGGCCTCCTTCTTCTGTCTTAGCTCATTCCCTTCTAGGTAGCGCCCCTCCAAGACCCTGGAATAACTGATTGCAGGGTGGGTTACAAACCCCTAGACTAGTGACCCACCCAACGCAATCGACAGGATACAAGAAGAAAAAAAAAAGACTGCCAAACCTTGCCAAGACAGGGTAAGGCCATTCTAAAATTTTCCTGCCTCTGAAAACGGTCTGCCAGTTACTCTAGGCCTTAGCCAAAGTTGGTTGCTCCAATGTTGCAAATGAGACTTTGGGTGATTGCCCAGGTATCCAGTTGTCTCTGTCCTCTACTGCACATTTTGGAAGCAGCTTGATTGCTCTTCCTGCCTACTCAAGTAATATTGTCTCCCTTCTCAGGCCTTCAATGGGGTTGAAGACTAGATAGTCATAGATACTTTCCTCTCATGACTTAGCCAAGCCACTTCTAATACAAGACTTAGACTCCTTAGGATAGGATAATTATTGGAACATTTAACATATGTTTCTTGCTTAATATTATTTATATTGGTTGTAATTCTAATTTTTATACTTGATATCTGTTCTTATTGTATATAGTTTTGTTGGGTTTGGAACTCTCTTATTTAGACAAAAGAGGTGATGGGGAATCTCTTTCAGCCAATGGCCTTTAAGAGGCTGGACCAGGTTGGGCGTGGCCTTGGGTACCAAAAAGGTGAGTGCCTGCCCCCTCCCCTCTTCTCTTGCCTGGATGCTGGATTTGATTCCTGTTCCCCATTCCTGCAGAGGACTGTCATCTGTGAGTCCCCCTAAATAGAGAACCCCTTATTATACTCATTTCTGAGTTAGTGTAGGATTAATTTATTCAGATTCCCCTTCACATCCCCATCCCCAGGCCCACGTGGACGCCCCCATCCCCAGGTCCACGTGGAGGCCGCCGTCAGAGCTACTGGGTGTGGGCTCTCAGAACCTGTTTCCTTAAGAGGACTTTGTGATTGTGTCCGCTGTCAGTGTTTGATAAGTGCTGTTAGTAGAAAACAAAGATCCTATCAGAGAGAAGGGCCTGAGTGTTGATAATGTTGAGTCCTAATCTGCAGATGTCAGGATGCTGTGACTTTTGTCCAATGGTAAAGTATCAGCACATCACTGGGGACAGACACCTGCCATTCACATGACAGGTGTTTCTATGGTAGGTATGCTGTATGTTGCCAGGAAGGCAGCACCATGGAACCTGTCACCAGGACTTCACAATCAGGGCTCTGTACATTTGCCCTATGTTAGAAATTGGGCAATAATAATAATAATAATTAATAATACTAACAATAGCCATGAAAATAAGAGGAAGACCAGCTGGGGGAAATGGGATGGGCAGGCATGGGAGGGAGAGAAAAGGGGGAAGAGGGAGATACAATCATAACGCATTAGATATGGGATTGCCAAGAAGGATGTTCAATTAAAAATTAAGTTAGGAAAATTAAATTGGGAGCTCGGGAGATGGCTACGTGGTTAAACCCAGGGCCACTCTTGCAGAGGACCAGAGTTCAATTCCCAGCACCCATTTCAGGCTCACCACCATTTGTAACTCCAGCTCCAGGGGATCCAGTGCCCTCTCTTGGCCTCTTTGGTTGCTGTATGCATGTATCAGCGCCCCCCATCTACAGACATATACACATAAATAAATAATAAAATAAATCTCTAAAAAAATTAGAATCCTAAATGCAAAGCCATAACCACCAGTCCTAATATAGTAACATTATGTAAGTACATATTTTGGTCTCAAATATTTTCTGTTTCATAAAGGAAAAGTATACAAGATTGACATTGAATATGGAAACTCCCAGAAATGGAAAGACGTGGCTGCTGGCATGGCTGTTATGGGGGTGACCAGTTGCTCCTTGACTTCATTTGTGCTTGCTCTGTAGGAGGGACCCCACACCTACTCTATAAACACCCGGTCCCAAACACAGGCTGAAGAGGCCTTATGCCCTCAGGGTGCTGAAGACTGCCATTTGATGGAGCCAACCCACTGTCAAACCACCTTCTAAACATCTGTTTCTATCCACAGCAAAGGCAAGAATCCCATCTTTACAGGGACTAGAGAGGGGAATGCAGAAGATGCTGAGGATAGAAGATGGGTAAGTGCCCTGCCCTAAACCAGGCACTATTTATACTACCCCGATGGCTGGGGGAAGGGGGCAATCACTGTAGGAGGGGTGGGGCCTATATAAGAGCTATAAGATAAGAGCTGCAAATGGTCCTTGTTGCTGGCTTTTGGTCTTGGTTGCTTTTAGACTCATGGGAAGATGGAACCTCAGGGTTGAAGCCTGTGCTGGTTAGAACTGCTCCTGTAGAATAAAGAGGTGGGGGGGGGAGGGTGGAGGAGGAGGGGGGGAAAGAGAGAAAGAGAGAGAGAGATATCAACCCCTTGAAGAGAGACAGAGAGATGGGAGAGGGGAGAGAGGAAGGTGGGTGATGCATGTGGACACTAGGGACAGACTGTTTCCTGTCAGGAGCCATTTCCCCACTAACAATCATTACAGGAACCATCACCCTGGGGAGTCTGCAGAATGCCCCTCACCCAATTAGCAGCAATCTCTTAGCGGAACCGCCTCACATTCCAGCTATCCAGGGAACCAGGTGTGGCCACTTGACTTCCTAGCCTACCTCCTGGCCTACATGACCTGGAACACGCGGCAAGAATCCAGTTGCCCTGCCCCCCATTCCTTACCATATATAAACTGTAACCCGTCCCTAATAAACGGAGGCTTTGACAAAACTGCTTGGCCTCCTTCTTCTGTCTTAGCTCATTCCCTTTCAGGTAGCGCCCCTCCGAGACCCTGGAGTAACTGGATTGCGGGGTGGGTTACAACCCCTAGACTGAGTAACCCAGACCCCAAAAGCAATCCACAGTTTCCTTCAAGGGCGTCCCCCTTAGTAACCTACTTCTTCCAACTGGTTTCCCCTCCCTAGTTTTCTGCCTTCCCAGGTCCATTAAGCCTTGAGGACAATGATTGGATCAGAGGAGGTCAGAGTCTCCGGGACCCAGTCACCTCCTATGGGAAACTGCTGTATCAGGTACCAAGCCTTCAACAGCGCAGCCTGGCCAGGAGCTCACCGTCTCACCGGCCTCGGTGTCCTGAGGGCTGAGATGAGATTTGTGTCACCGCATTCCGCTAGCCCAGCCAGAAACATCTTATTTACATATTACATAAGCGTGCGGGTGGCTTATGAAGGCACACATACCATGGCATGGTCCTCCTGTCCCACTGAGTGGGTCCTGGGAGGCAGGTGCCTTTACCTGCAGAGCCCTCTCGCTGGCCCAGCCAATTTTAACACATAAGCTTTTGGGAGAACATTTGAAGCCTGGTCTTTAAGGAAGGTTGTGTAAGAAAGAGAGGAGGAGCTTATGGGGTTGTTTTAGAGCAATGCTTCTCAACCTTCTTATTGCTGGTCCTCATGTTGTGGTGACTTCAAACTGTAAAATAATTTTGTTGCTACTTCTTAACTGCATTTTTGCTACTGTTATTAATCGTAATGTAAATATCTTATACGCAGGATATCTGATATGTGACCCCTATGAAAGGGTCATTTGATCCCAAAGGGGTCGCGCCCCACAGGTTGAGCACTGCACGTTTAGAGGTCTGTCTCTGGCTTTCAGTTCTCATTGCTGTGACAAAATCCCCGAGAATGACAACTGAAGGAGGGTTTACTGAGGTTCACAGCTCCAGGGTGCGGCATGGCGAGGAAGACGGGGAGGCAGGAGTGAGGTGATGGTAGAGATGAAAGAACCGTTTGTCCCGCCCAAAGGAGGGTGGGGGTTTCCCTACCTTCCGCAACCCTGAAAGTTGCCCTCCTGTTAACAAGGTGACACCGCGTGTCCCTGCAGGAAGGTCCTGAGGCTGCAGTGCCTTGGTCTGTCCGGCGGACCCGAGGCGAGCGCAGGGCAGGAAGCAGGCTGAGAGCTCCATCCCAGCCAGGCCGGCTACAAAACTGCCTCCCAGCAGCGCCACCTGCCGACCACACCCCGTACTATCCCGCCTCTCTTTCCCTGGCAGGCTTCCTTGAAAAATGTCTTAGGGTGTTTGTGTGCGCCTGTGTTTGCAGGCACGTGTTCGTGTGTGTGTTTGTGTGTGCATGTGCGCACGTGCATCTATGCATGTGGTCACGTGTTAGGGGTACGTGGTTATGTATATTCATACACAGCCACAGGTCAATCTTGGGTGTCCTCCTTCATTGCTCCTCACAGTTTTGTTTTTATTTTAAATCCTGTGCGTGTGTTTGTGTATGTACACGTGTGTATATCACCCTGTCTGTCACTCATGGCCCTAGACTCCACAGCTCAGAAAGAAAACACTGAGTGAGTTTCTTCAAGAGCAAAAACTCTCAGCTCCCCCCACTCCCCCCACCCCCCACCCCCACCCCGTCTTTCTTCCTCTCTTTCTGTTTGTTTCCTTCTGGATCCCGGATCAGGCTCAGACCGCCCCAAACACCAATTTCAAGCCCCAAAGAGATCCTTTATTAAGCAAAAAAGGAGAGAGACTGGGTAGATGAATCTGAGCAGGCAGGCATCACAGACAAGGGGGGGCGTCTGTGATAGGGTATGCTGGTCAGTCCTGATTGGATATCTAGGGCACTGCAGGCATTTTAATAGCTGGACCTTGGTGGCGTTAATCCCAAAGATTCGGAGGACTGGTCCAAATCACCGCGAATTAAAGCAAGCAATCAATGAAAGCGAGCTTTTTTATTCATGTACACAGTTCTTCGCCTTGGGAGGTGGTCTGTACACACCTACAACCACAGCATGCTCCCGTTCGTTCCTATGGCTCTAGTGTAGGAACTGCTCCTGGGGCTTCCTGTTCCTGGGGCTGCATTTTCTTCGCTTCAGATGTAAACACAGCAGCTACCAGACTGTGGAGTCAATGCAGTTAATTGGCCTTAATGGAAATCACAAAATGTCCTCCATTCTGCAGAAGAGTGTGGGCATTTCGGGCCACACTCTGGGTTTGGTTTGGGAGTCCCGCAGTGGGTGGGGGACAGGCAGTGAGTGGGAGTTTTATTGGGGGAAGGGATGGAAGTGGGGGGAGGGAAGAGAAAAGGGACACAGAGTGGCTTCATGGGGAGAAGGGACAGAGAGAGAGAGAGAGAGAGAGAGAGAGAGAGAGAGAGAGAGAGAGAGAGAGAGAGAGATGCCTACCTCTTCAGAGGTGTAGCAGGAAATGGAGTGGGAATGAACAGCACTTGTCCCTTAAAGGGGGCATGGCACACACGTACAGACTATGTAGTGATGTTTCAGCCATAGCATCCTGGGCTGGCCAGGGTACTGCCTGAGTGCATGCTGCCAGGTGACAGGGGCATGCCAGCATAATGCCTGCCTCCTAATAGCTAGTTTAATGAGAGAAAACAAGTTAACTCTGGGTCAAGATCTTCTGCTCACAGCACACCACGACTCAGCTGAAGCCCTCCTCTGATGACACCGAAACACTGAGTGTCTACTGCCTTTGTGACCCCAGTACCAGTCCCTACTCCTGGCACACCCTTGAGTCTTAAGGAGCTCACTACCACCAATCCAGCTACCCTCTTGTGATGGGCACAGGTGTTCATCCATGATGCTCCGGAGATGAAAGATGAAACCAGGTCCCTTGGAGCTGCCGCAGTTCCAATAACTGAAACAATAAGGACCCAAGCCAGTTACCTCAGCCCAGAGAGCAGCACTGATCGATCTGACCCAGGCTCTCAGGTGGGGAAGAGCAAAGTCCTCTCCCATATACACAGACAGTCGCTAACTTATACTGCCCAGTGTGTCCACAGTATAGTTCACAGAGCCAAGGGGCTTCTCACCACTGCGGAGAAGGACATTCAAAATCATTGGCCCCACTAGAAGCTATTTGACTTCTGTTATGAGTTGGTATCCTCCACTACCAAGGAAATCAAAAGGAGATTCCCGTCGGGTGGGTAGAGGCCATGTGCAAGCCAGCCTGGGTCCTCAAGGTCTGGGCTTCCAGTAAGACATACGCAGCCACAGACAAACTCCTTCAACTTCAGTAGTCCCATCTGAAGAGTAAAGAAGCCAAAGAGCCAATGGAAATTCGCTGTAGACTATGGGAACACCAACCAGTGTTCTTTACAAATGCCAGGAAATTTACATGATGTAGAGGATATAGTCTTAAAGCCTAGAAATTACAACCCAGTGTTCTTTGGCACCACAGACTCACCACACATATTCTTTAGCATACCACTTCATGCGGGCTCTGGAGATATTACTATTTTTCCCTGAAATAATAAACAATACAGATTTTAAAAACTGCCTCAAAGCTGTAAGACTAGCCCAGTCCATTACTCATGTGATGATAAGATGGTCACTAGAAAAGCTACCCAAACCAAATTGCCTGCTTAAGGTATGCAGATGATATGTTGATTGCAGGATACAATAAGGACACTGTTTAAAACTATATGGAGACAGGAATCGATACCCTGGTACATGATGGCTGAACCATTAATAGAGACAATGTGAAAGGACCGGATACCTCAACAGAGTTTCTAGGCCTGCCATGGATATCTGAAGGAGCCATGATCCTATATGGCTTATTGCAAGGATTTTAAATGTCCTCCAACAGATACAAAACCCAGATGATTTCCACTGCAGACAGGAGCAAAGAGAAGCTCTTGAGACAGCCTGCTAGCTCATCTCTGTGAATGCAATTTGACCAATATTGAACAAGATGATACCCTAATTATGGATATCATATTTATTGGCGAATATGGCAACTGGGGACTCTTTATAAAGCAAAAGGGAGTCCACCAACATTGTCCCGTTGACTTCTATTGCAAACACTTCCCATATGTGGAGAACAGATACTCTCTCTTTGAGAAACAAATCTGGACATTTTTTTTAAAGATTTATTTATTTATTATGTGTACAGTATTCTCAGTATTCTGTCTGCATGTATGCTGTAGGCCAGAAGAGGGCACCAGATCTCATTACAAATGGTTGTGAGCCCCCATGTGGTTGCTAGGTATTGAACTCAGGACCTCTGGAAGAGCAGGCAGTGCTCTTAACCGCTGAGCCATCTCTCCAGCCCAAATCTGGACACTTTTTGAAGCATGCAGAACCCGACACTCAGCCATGACTCACACCAACTCACACCAACCACCTGTGGTCATAAAAGTACCCTTTACAATGATGGATTGGATCCAGTCACAGACAGAGTCTTTCACAGGCTTAACTATGGAAGGAAAGGTATTACAGTGGAAATGCTACCTATCTGACTTTCTTCATAACCAGGATGTGGCAGCAAAGGGGTCTGTGCCTTCATGCACTGCAGTACGCCGCTCCCGCCAGCAGAAGAGACGACCGCAACAGGATTCTTCTCAGAACACACTTTATTGGAGCACTTACACTTGAGGTTGTAAAGAGGCAAAAGACCCCGTCCCCGTGAAGCAGAAGAATATATACGGTGCCAGACAAAGCCCTGACGTGTCATCAACCCAATGGCTCAGGCCAGAATGGAGTGATCGTGCTTAAATTATGATTGGCCAGATCGGATGGCCAGATGAAAGACTCCCCGCGTTGGGGGGGGGGGGGGACTGGCGCGCATGTGCTGTGCGCGCGCATGCGCACAAGTTGTCTGTCAAGTTTGACGTGGAACAGCAAACAGCGCCCAGGCTCCGTGCCCCTGACATGACAGCGCCATGGTGCGCGCTACATCTCCGCGCGCTATATCTCCGCACGCTACAATGCACTGAGGAAATAGCTCAGTTGCCCATAACACCCATCCCTAAACCACTCACCCCTTCCCCCAAAGAGGCACCTGTTGGACTGTGGGATCA